GTGTCGCAGCAGACCCAGAACTGCACAAAAGACCCCATCGTGCCATGCGCACTCGGATAATATGTGGCCTGTGGGACGTGTGTGGGGCATAAGACACCTGTGGGGCAGGTGGGAACTGTGAATCTGTGGGGACTGAACGACCTGCGGGCCTTGTGGAACCTTGTGCGATCTGGGGGACGCATGCGGCCTGTGGGGCCTGTGAGACCTGCGACACATGTGGGATCCGTGGTACCTGTGGGACTTGTAGGACTGGTAGAACCTGCGAGACCTGTGGGACCTGTGGCACCAGCGGGGCCTGTGGGACTTGTGTGACCTGGGGGGCATATGTGGGACCTACGAGACATGCGACACCTGTGCGACCTGTGGGAACTGTGGGACATGTGGGACTGGTGAGACCTGCGAGACCTGCGAGACCTGTGGCACCAGCGGGGCCTGTGGGACTTGTGGGACCTGGGGAACCTCTGCGGAACCTGTGAAACATGCGGCACCTGTTGGACTTGCGAGACCTGCGCGACCTGTCGGACCTGTGGGACTCGTGGTACCTGCCACACCTGTGGGACCTGTGGGACCTGCGGAACCAGTCAGACCTGTGGTACCTTTGGGGGACGACGTGCGACACCTGTGGGTCCTGTGCGACCTGTGGACCTGTGGGGCCTGCAAGACCTGCGAGACCCGTGGGACCTGCGAGAACTGCGGGATCCGGAAAAGAATGCCCACGTTGGAGCGACAGCGCCGTTCTGAACGACGGGAGCACAGCGCCGATCCGAAACCGAGGCGAACGCTGCAGCGAGAGAAAAAACTTGAAACACTGGCAACAATCGAATAACAAAAACGCACTGAGAAGAAAAAACAGTTCGGCCCAATCCTCTGCGGAAGAAAGCAGGACGCGGATTGGGGCGGGAGAACTTTCGGACCATTTTAGGGCGAGGGGAGAACAGCATTCAGATTCAGTAGTTGTGGAAGGACGCATCGGGACAGAAACAGACGGAAGGGGGCGGAGAGAAGTGGAGGCCGAGGGGGGAGGGAGGAAAGGGGAAGAGGGAGGAGGAAGGCGAGGGGAGGGGAGGGGGAGGGGAGAGAGGGAGAGACTAAGCTAGGTGCTCTCGCGCCACATCTGACCTCCTACCCCTCCCTCCCGTCCCTTCCCATTGCGCTGGTTGTCTCCATCTCCGCCGACGGGTGTCATAGCGGACCTGGAACACCCAAAAGGACCTGATCATGCTACGCGCAATATGGAGAAGGCGATCTGCGTACATTGGGGGAAGGAGGTGGCGGATGAGCAGGAGGAGGGCAAGGAGGAACTGCAGCAGGAGGAGCAGGAGGAGCAGGAAGGAGGCAGGAGGACCAAGGGAGGAGGGAGGCCAGGGCGGGGAATGATGAAGGGTGCGACCACGACGGAAGCACGCGGGTCCAGAAGCGTGGCCAACGCTGGTGCGAGAGCACCCTTCTGAACGACGGGGTAGAGCGCCGATCCTCAAGCGAGGCTAACGCTGCAGCGGGAGCGCCATCCTGGAAGGACCGCAAACGGTCAGGTCGAAAAAACTTCAGGCGAAAGAACAAGTCGGACCAGTCCTGCGTGTTTTTGCTTCATGCGCCAGGGGGGGGGCGCTGCTCTCAGCATGTCTTCGGGGGAGAGAGGAGAGTAACCCTCATATCAAGACAGGTGCGCTCGCGCCATACCTGACATCCTGTCCCGCCCTCCTATCCCTTTCCATTGCGCTGATTGATCCACGGACGCGTGTCATAGCCGACCTGGAACTCCAAGAAAAACGTCATGCATCGAGCTGCTCTCAGCATGTCTTCGAGGGAGAGAGAGGAGTAGCCCTCATATCAAGACAGGTGCGCTCGCGCCATACCTGACATCTTATCCCTCCCTCCTGTCCCTGTCCATTGCGCTGATTGCTTCCCTATCCACGGACGCGTGTCATAGCCGACCTGGAACTCCAGGAAAGACCTCGTGCATCGTGTTATGCGCAATCGGAAAGGGGTGCTGAGCAGGAGGAGGACGAGGACGAACAGCAGCAGACGAACAACAGCAGCAGCAGCACCTTGAGTGAAGGAGCGGAAGCATATAAAGTAACCGTAAAGGGGAAAGAGAGCGTTGTTCAATTTGTTTCGCGATAGTGGCCGTCACCGGCCCCGCCGCCACTCTCCAAGGTGACGCACGTTTCGCGCCCGCACCGCCTGTGAATGTCTTAGAATAGCCGAAGACAGCTCGGATAGCAGATACCAGTAGGGACCTGCTACGGCAGAGCGCGCATACCTATAGAGTTCTGCTACGGCAGAGCGCTTCCCTTCTTCTCCTATTCCTCCTCCTCCTCCTCCTCCTCCTCCTCCTCCTCCTCCTCCTCCTCCTCCTCCTCCTCCTCCTCTTCCTCCTAGTCCTCTTCCTCCTCCTCCTCCTCCTCCTCCTCCTCCTCCTCCTCCTCCTCCTTCTCCCCCTCCTCCTCCTCCTCGTCCTCGGCGTCGGCATCATCGTCGTCGTCGCGTTCCTCCTCTCGGCGTTCCCGTCCTCTCCATTACACTGCAACGTGCTGCACGCAAGGGCAAAAGAAGGGGGGAGGAGCTGGGAGGAAGGAGCGAACGAGGGAGGCGAGGCCCAGGCCGAAAGGACGAACCTGTTCGATTACACTTCTGCTATCGATGCTAGCTCTGGGGGAGGGGTCCTAGATCCGATAAAGGGGAAGTGGCCACGTCGTCGTCCTGCCCCCTCTCTTCTTAATCCCCTCCGCGCGTCGTCCTGTTATTCCTTATTGCGCCGGGGGCAGCGCGGCATGGCGTGAGCCCACGAGATACACGGCTGCCGCCAAAACACCGCGCTTCCTGATTGGTCGATAGAGAATCTTGAGGGGTGTCTTTTAGCAACCCAGGAAGCTGGAACGCGCAAGCAGCTGGAATCACACGCGGAGCATGCGGATCACGCGCGGGGACGGCTGCGCATTGAGCCGCACGAGGACCGTGCCCTGGAAATACATGCGGCCACATGTGCATCCAACTCTCGCCCAAGCTGACCACGTCGTGTGTGCACAGCCACCTGGTAAGAAACTTTTGCGCCAGCGGCTAGGCAGAGGATGACTGCGCTGGCGATAAAAGCATGAACGGGGTTCCGTTGGGCCGAACTGTGCCACCATGCAGGGGGAGGAGGGAGGAGGGACGCGGCCGAAAGAAACCAGGGACGGGGCGGGCGGCCACGATGTCAGAACACTCCCCGGGCGCACCTGGTAAGAAACACGCAGGCGAGATGTCCCGTCGTGCTCGGTTCCAATGTTCCCAGCAAGGCAGGAGTGCTAAAGGGAAAAAAGACCGCTGGGCGAAGGCAGCGCGTGCGCTGGGCGAGCACCACAGCGGCCCGCGGGCACCTCAGCGTGTCTGGACAGGAACACAAGGAGAGGAGGAGGAGGAGGAGGAGGAGGAGGAAGAGGAGGAGGAGGAGGAGGAAGCGGAGGAGGAGGGAGGAGGAGGAGGGGGGGAGGGGCGAGGAGGAGGAGGAGGAGGAGGAGGAGGAGGAGGAGGAGGAGGCGGAGGAGGAGGTGAGAGGAGGATGAGGAGGAGGAGGAGGAGAAGGAGGAGGAGGAGAGGAGGAGGCAGGACGAGGAGGACGAGGAGGAGGAAGGGATGATAGGAGGAGGAGGAGAAGCGAGGGGAGGAGGTGGAGTAGGAGCAGGAGGAGGAGGAGGAGGACGAGGAGACGGGAGGAGGAGGAGGAGAGCAGCAGCAGCAGGAGGGAGAGGAGGCGGAGGGAGGAGGAGGAGGAGGAGGAGGAGGGATCAGGAGGAGGGAGGAGGAGGAGCGGAGAAGGAGGAGGAGAGGGAGGAGGAGGAGGGAAAAGGAGGAGGAGGAGAAGAAGGAGGAGGAGGAGGAGAAGGAGGAGGAGGGAGGAGCGAGGAGGAGGAGTAAGGAGGAGGAGGAGGAGCAGGAGGAGAAGGGAGAAGCAGGAAGGAGGGGGAGGGGGAAGAGAGGAGGAGGAAGGAGGAGGAGGAGAGCAGCAGCAGGAGGAGGAGGAGGAGGAGGAGGAAGGAGGAGCAGGAGCAGGAGGAGGAGGAGGAGGAGGAGGACAACGAGGCCGTTTTCCGCCTCAGGCCCAGCCAGGAGCGCTCAGACTCCTTCCACGGCACGAGCCGACAACAGAAGCGGAGTGAGACAGGTCCTTTCGGCCTGGCCTCGCCTCCCTCGCTCCCTCCCTCCTCCCAACTCCCTCCCCACTTCTTCTGTCCTCGCGTGAAGAAGCACCTTGGAATATGAAGAGGACGATGACGACGAGAGGAGGAGCGCGACGACGACGACGACGACGACGACGACGACGACGACGACGGGAGGAAGGAGGAGGAGGAGGAGGAGGAGGGATGCGGGAGGAGGAGAATGAGGAAGAAGAGAAAGAAGAAGAGCAGGAAGAGGAGGAAAAGGAGAAGGAAGACGCTCTGCCGTAGCAGATCCCTATAAGTAAGCGTGTTCTGAATGGCAGATCCATGCACGCGTCCGCCATCCGAGTTGCCTGGAGTCATTCCTAACGGGTCCCTCCTCCGGTGTACGGACAAAATATTCGTACTCTCACACACTTGAGGGGGATGCTTATCACCCCCCGGCCCCCGAAATCAATGTTGATTTTAGCATGGGTGGTGGTTCGGGGTTTCGAATATATCTGTCCACCCATGCCCTCTCCATTGCCGCACCCCCTATGCTAATTTTTGGGGTCCTGGGGAGCATCCTACGCCGCAGGGTTCGAACGTCTTGCCCATGTACGCCCTTCCCCCCGGCAACGCCCGTCATCGCCCGAGGATGAAAAAATGCTCTCGAGAGGAGAGGGAGACCCTGAGATCCGGCGTCTCGAAAAAAAAGAAGCATCCTGAAAAATCACGCACGGAACCATCGGCCCCACATTTCTGAGTCATTTCTCGAGCTGGATCTATCTGCGAGGGTCTCAGGGCCCGACACTGGGCGAAAAAGCTTGAGTCGCCAGGATCTCAGGGGAGGGAGGAAAGACGGCGCGTGGCGCTGGACGGGCCTGCACCGCCGCCCCGAGCCAGCTCCGCAGGGCCGGGGCGAAGCGCAGCTGCAGCTCGCAGGCGGCCTCTTGGGCGAGGCGGAGGGGAGCCGGGGAGAAGGAGAGGGGCGCAGGGCATCCATAGCTATTACAGGGCACCAGTTGGGCCCGCCCTCCTCCTTCCCGCCACCTAGCCAAACAACTCATTCCCTCCCCCCTCACGCCTCTCCCTCGCACTCAGCGATAAGTAATGAAGTAATCATCCTACCTCACTCAGCCTGAATCCATCCTCCTCCTACCTCTACTTCCTCCCTCACACCTCCTTCCTCTCTCCCCTCCTCGCCTTCCTCCTGTCCCCTAATCCTCTCTTCGTTTTGCGTTTTTTTCTCTCTCCTCCTCCTCCTCCTCCTCCTCCTCCTCCTCCTGCTCCTGCTCCTGCTCCTCCTCCCCCTCCTCCTCGTTAGCCTGCTCCAGGCCTGCCCTCCCTCGACGACCGCCAGCGCCGATCGCGCCGGGGGTCGTGTGGCCTGAGGTCCCTGTGCGGCCTGCGATTGCCGCGGGTTGCTCCGCGGGTTGCGCTGCTGACCCTGCTGCACGCCGATGCTGCTGCCGCTGTGCGACGTGCATGCTGACGCTGCGGGCTCGACGTGCTGACAGCACGCCTAAGAAGCACAGAAAGGGCGGGTGGGGGGCCATCCACCGCCAAGCCTCCGCGGGCCAATCCTGGCTGGCTGTTTCGGGGTCCCAGGACTGTGCGGTGAGAGGCCGCGCGGGGATCTCGAAATCCCGAGAGACCTCATTGCACTGTCCGTCGCCCCCCGGGTTTTGAGACCCTGGAGGCCCCGGCCGCCCGAGACGTCATCGGAGAAAGACCCGGGTCCCAAAACTGCGCGGGGGGCCCGAATCCCCACTGACTCACCACAAGGTGCGGTCTCCGAACCGCTTGGGGACCCTCGAGCGGGGCCAGGGATCGGTGCCTACACCCTTCCTGGCCGAGCTGGTTGGGCCGAGCCTGGGCCCAGGAGCGGCCCCGCCAGGTTCGGTGGGTGGACAAAACAGCACCAGAAGTGCAAAAGCGGAGGAGGAGGAGGAGGAGGAGGAGGAGGAGGAGGACGAGGAGAAGGAGGAGGAGGAGGAGGAGGAGGAGGAAGAGGAGACGGAAGAAAGGAGAAGGAGCAAGGAAGAGGAGCATGGCGGGGAGGTACGAGGGAGTCAGGAGGGGGAGGGAGGAGGAGGAGGAGGAGGAGGAGGAGAAGGAGAAGGAGAAGGCGAAGGAGAAGGAGAAGGAGAAGGAGAAGGAGAAGGAGAAGGAGAAGGAGAAGGAGAAGGAGAAGGAGAAGGAGAAGGAGAAGGAGAAGGAGAAGGAGAAGGAGAAGGAGAAGGAGAAGGAGAAGGAGAAGGAGAAGGAGGTGCGTTCTGACCAGAATCTGAAAGCGAACCCAGCCGTGGCGACGAGGGGAGCGTCGGGATGTCCGTTCACCGCCGGAAAAGGTCTTAAGACAAGCCTGGGCCAACGTCCCCCCCAAAGAAACACAACCCTCAAGACAAATCCGGGCCAACTGCTTCGGTCCACGCTGGGGGGGGAGAATGTGCGCAAGAAACGGGGCCAGTTTCCCGGCATGTGGGCGAAGAAGCGCGTTGCCCAGCTCTTCGGGAGAGGAGGTCTCTTGATCGGACGCTCGACTGCATCTGCCTCCTCGGGGTCTCCTCCCCGCCTCCTCCCCGCCAGGGCCTCCGCCGGCGCGTGGCCGCCCGGCCAACCCCCCCGCCCGGGTGCGCCACCGACGGCAAAGGGCAAGCCCGTCGTGGCGATCGCTGAGGCCTCATCGGCTGCCCGGACTGCTCCGTCGATCCTCTCGTCCCCTGCTCGGCCCGGAGAGCCCGAGCTGCCGGCAGAGGAGGTGGTGGGCGGCCCCGGGGGCCACCACGCGCAGGTCGTGCTTGCTAGCATGCAGACACTCACGGAGGCCCGCGTGCCGACGGACCGGAGCTGCAACAACCTATTCGGTCCTGTGGGAAGTACGCCGAGGTCGCCTCGCATCACCGCTCCTCCGCCCGCAGCCGCCTGGGGCGCGGGTTAGGTCGGGCATGTCCCCCTACAGGCGGATTTTGGACGAACAATGGAAAATGATCAAAAAACACTCCCAAACTTTTGAAGATTCTCCCTGTAGACGGACAGGCCCGACTGAAGGCTCGGGCTTGGGCTCGGGCCCGGGCCCCGCGAGGGCGCGGGGGGCAGCGCCCCCCAACGGAGGCGGGCCAAAGCTTCTCGCCCACACGACAACGCCACCATGTACGACCCTGCGTAGAGCGAATCTAAGAGAATGAACTTCAGTCGAAGCGCTCTCTTTCTCAATAGTCCAGATTCGGAAGCTGGGCGAAGGCTGGCAAATCCGTGGCTGCTAACACGGTCTTTCTGGAAAGAAATAACAAACTCCCAGAATAAAATTCCGCGCGCTAAATAGTAGACGGGCTGCTTCCCGGAAGATAAAAACAAATTCCCGGAGCTCCGTTTTAGCAGCCACGGGTTAGCCAGCCTTCACCTGGCTTCTGATAGTTTTCTCGTGTATGTGTATATGTATAGAGATGTACGGAAGTCCTACGAACAACAAACAATCCTCTGCAGATCGGTGAGCCTGGGGGGGAATGAAAAGGGGCGGGCCTTCTCAGAAGGCTCGGAAGTCCCCCCAGCCTTCTGCGCAGTCTTCTAAGCCTTCCTAGAAGACGCACCAAAAATCTCTCAGAGAGCGCGAGGGTTTCTGAGAAGTCCCGCCGCCTTCTCCTCCTCATCCTCCTCCACCTCATCCTCCTCATCTTCCTCCTCCTCCTCCTCCAAGTCCCGCCGCCTTCTGAGAAAGCCTTCTCCTTCTCGCTTCCCCCCCTCGCTCCCTGCTGAAGCTAAGAAAAGGAACCTCAGGCGAAGCGCTCTCCGACACAGCAGTCCGGGTCCACGGGCACGGAAAGCCTGCTGGAAAAGAGCTCTCCGACGCACTGAAATTCTACGAACAAGAAACTGTCCTCTGCTGTCGGGGGCGCGCGCGCAAACATGGATTAGCGTCGTCGGCTTGGCCCGGAGAGCCTGAGCTGCAGACAGAGGAGGTGGTGGGCGGCCCCGGGGCCACCACGCGCTAGTCGTGCTTGCTATCATGCAGATACTCACGGAGGCCCGTGTGCCGACATACGGGTGCTGCAACAACCTATTCTCGGGGGCGCGCAAACATGGATTAGCGATACATGGATTTGGCGCGCGATCGCCCACACGCCCCCTCCACCGGAGGCGGCCCAGAGCTGCTGCTCCACACGGCTGTGCCGCCGCACCCCTGCGCAGGGTCAAGAACACTCTGAGCTAAGAAAACAAACTTCAATCGAAGCGTTGTCTTACACGGTAGCTGCATATATGCATATACGTATAAACATACAGATATATACACAGACACGGAGATCATATTGAAAAAAAGGGTTCCAAAAAAACGCCCAGGGATACATATACATATATATATATATATATATATATATATATATGTACGTATGTAAATATACATAATATATATATATATGTGTGTTTACCTGTAAATATAAATACGGATCCGTGTATATACGGAAGTCCCAAGAGAAAAGGAGCTCCAAGAAAACGCCCAGGGTCCAGTGCAAGAGTCTGGCTTTTTCTTTAACGAGATCTGGAGTCCACGAAAGGCAACGTTTTTTCAAATGATGCTCGATGGGTGCACGGAGTAACAACAACAGGGCCCGGGGGGCCTCCTGGACGCGCTCTCAGTGCCGTCTGAGGTCCGCTCAGAGGGCGAACGTCCAGGGGCCATCACGGGGGCAGCTGAAGATGCCTCCACCCAATCTACCTGCCGCTAATAGAGCCGTGCGCGCCACGGCGCTGGTCCTGGGCAGGCTGTGCTGCCAGGCCCCAGGAGGGGCTGTGCTGCTTCGGCGTTTCCACAAACTGAGTCACCAGTGCCCTGGCCACGGCCTAACATTCGCGCTACAGTTGAGTCCGGCATGCCCCCCATACAGGCAGATTGTGGCCGAAAAATGTAAGATGGCCAAAAAATGCTCCAACATATTCAAAAAAAACAAAAAGAATCGTGCCCTGATTACTTTGGGGGGGGCTATTTGTGCATCTCCCTCCTGTAGAGGGACAAGCCCGACTCAACGCTACAGCTGCTCCGACCGGGGGGGGGCAGCCAAAGAGCCGCGGTCCGAGCACCGGGCCCCCTCACGGTGCCGCCCTCCCGGCCCGAGGTCCGCGAGCAGGTGGCCGAGAGCAGCTGCAGCGGGTGTGCAGTCAGGGCCACGCCGGGCCCACTGAGGGTCCGCTGCTGGAAAAATGGAAGGATCCGCCACCGTGCCCCGAGGCACGAGTTTTATGTCGGGCGTGTCCCCCTACAGGGGGATTTTCGACGAAAAATAAAAATTATCCCAGCGCGACCCTACCTAGGAGTTGGAGTATTTAGGAAAGCAACATCTACATCTACACCGACTGCGGTATGCTATGCTATGCTATGCTGAGCTATGCTATGATATGCTTGCCTATGCTTGGTTATGCTATGCTATGCTATGCTGTGCTAATGCTGCGCTGCGCTATGCTGCGCGAAGTTAAGTTAAGGTACGCTATGCCATGGTGGGCTAGGCTAAGCTAAGCTAAGCTAAGCTAAGCTAAGCTAAGCTAAGCTAAGTTAAGCTAAGCTAAGCTAAGCTAAGCTAGGCTAGGCTAGGCTAGACTAGGTTAAGCTGAGCTAAGTTCAGCTAAGTTAAGCCAAGCTAAGCTAAGTTAAGCTAAGCTAAACTAAGCTAAGCTAAGCTAAGAACATCGAAGCTAAGCTGAGAGAATCGAAGCTAAGCTAAGCTAAGCTAAGCTAAGCTAAGCTAAACTAGGCAAAGTTATAAGCTAAGCTAAGCTAAGCTAAGCCAAGCTAAGCTAAGCTAAGCTAAGCTAAGCTAAGCTAAGATGAGATAAGCTAAGCTCAGCTAAGCTGAGCTACGCTAAGCTTAGCTAAATTAAGCTGGGTGAACCCAGGGGGCGCAACTGGGGGAACCGCGGGGCGGATCCTGGGGGAACCGCCCGGGGCGAGGTCCACTGCCCGGCCCTGTAAGCAAACCGAGTAAGAACCCTTCTAGGCAGAGTCTAGGTAGGGAAATAGCCCAAAAATGCCCCGAAAAGGTCAAAAAATGCTCAAAAATAATCCCCAGACTATCCTTGGAGTATGTTTAATTATTTTTGTTGTATTTTTCGTCGAAAATCCCCCTGTAGAGGGACAGGCCCGAATTAACACGAGTTGGAGTGGCCTTCCAGACATGGTCGCGTCGTCAACAGAAACCCGGACGGGAGGGTCTGGGCCAAGTTCGGCCTCCGGGGGGGGGGGGCCTCGCCCGGCCCTGGGAGCGTCCAGGAGCGGTTCGGGACGGAGGACCGGCCCTGGGGAAGGGGTCGGGACTTCCAGGGGCCCGGCACGGAAAAAATCAGGACGTGGCATGTCTGGGCTCGGGTCCGTTGGAGCTCTTCGTCCTCAGCCCTGGACGAAGGAATCTTCAGGAGCCCGGGCCCCAAAGTGCCAGACTTCCGGGGGGGCGCGCGCCGCGGCTCTCTATCGGGGCCTCGCGCAGCTCCTCGCGGGTTGTCGCACGGCAGAGGGCCCCCAGGACGGCCCCCCATCCCGAGGGGAAGGGGGAGTAGCTAGCAAGAGGACAGAAGGGGGGAAGGGGGCGCGAGGGGTCCAGCCCAGCCCAGCCCATCCCAGCCAGACCCGCAGGGACCTGGAGGGAGGGAGGGAGGGTGGGGGAGGGAGGGGGTGAGGCAAGCTAGGTGCGCTCGCGTCATATCTGACGTCCTACCCCACCCTCCCATCCCTTACCATGCGCTGATTTTCTTCTATCCGGTGACGAGGGTCCTAGCGGGACTGGGGCTCCCGCGCGCGCGTCGTGCGTAGTGGGGTAGTGGTGGCGCGTGCGTGACGGCGTGCGTGCGTTGCGTGTGTGGGTGTGGTTGTGGTTGTGGTGGCGGGTGGCGTGGCTGTGGTGGTGGTTGTGGTGGTGTGGTGGTGGTGGTGGTGGTGGTGTGGAACAGGGTGGTGGTGGGTGGTGGTGGTGGTGGTGGGTGGTGGTTGTTGGTGGTGGTGGTGGTGGTGGGTGGTGGTAGTGGTGGTGGTGGTGGTGGTGGTGGTGGTTGTGGTGGAGGTGGTGATGGTGGTGTGGTGGTGGTGGTGGTTCTGGTGGTGGTGGTGGTGGTGGTGGTGGTTGTGGTGGTGGTGGTGGTGCGGCGCGGTTGGTGGCGGGCGGAGGCGCGGCGCGAGGGAAAGCGAGGTTCGGAGGGGAAAAAGGCCCGCGCTGGGGCGAGAACGCCATCCTGAACGACGGAGGCCAAACACCAATCCGAAAATGAGGCCCACGCTGCAACGGGAGCACGATTCGGAACGATTCGGGAGCAGAAATGAGGCCGGCGCCTCAACGAGAGCAGCATGTTGGGAAAAAATGACGCGGGCGCCTCAGCGCGAGTCGTTTCCCGGGATTTCCCGGGCATCCTGTGGGTTAAAAAACAGTGCGCGGAGGGTGCGCGGCCATCACCCGGACGCCATCAGGGGAAGGATTCGGGAGCAGAAATGAGGCCGGCGCCTCAACGAGAGCAGCATTTTGGGAAAATGACGCCGGCGCCTCAGCGAGAGTCGTTTCCCGGGATTTCCCGGGAATCCTGTGTGTAAAAGAACAGTACGCGGAGGGTGCGCGGCCATCACCCGGACGCCATCAGGGGAAGAGGGAGAATATATTCATATTGAGTAATTGTAGAGGAAGGGATGACCATGTTTTGCGTTGGCGGCGCAAGTCGAGACAAGGGCCCCCGATAGGCCTACCTTGGAAGACACTGTTGGGGCAACACGCCAAAACTAAGAGCGATCTGAGGCGATCGTCGGCAGGGAGGATGAGCTGGCGTCCCCCAGAGTTGGGTCAAGCATCGGCGCCTGTATCCATGCGTGCCCGCGGTACAGAAGTGGCGCAACGTAGCAGGACAAGCACGCGCGGCGATCCAGGGAGAAGGAGAGTGGCCGCACAGGACGCCAGAGAAAACGTAAAGCTCGCAAGCAGAACGCGCAGAGGTGCCCAGCTTATGTGGGCCTTCGGCAGTCCTTTTAACCAAGACCGCTGGTGCTTGAGGCATTGTCTACTAGTGTAGGCTCTAAGCCGCACATGCGCAGGGCGCACGGGTAAAGGGTCTAATTTAACGAAATATGAACCGAACCCCAAACGGGTCAATGTTAGAGCTCAAGCAAGATCGATTCATGATACCCGCGATGCTGCGACTGAGCGCTGGGCGCTGAACGCGCGTCAGGCCGCGGTGGTCCACTTCCTCGTCTCAGGGCGCCGTCCAACCGGGCGGCGGCAGCGGCGAGAGACTCGGCTCATGGATTGGGGCCGTCGGCGCCTCCCCTGTGCCGTAGGGGGCGGTCCAGTCGACGACCTTACCGAGGATGCCCTCGCGGCATGTCTGGGACGCCGAGATATGCATCCGGCCCTCCTTGCTGAGCCAGAATTTGGATCGCCCCCTTCTGGCGCCCAAACTGGACAAGGATGCCCTTGGG